CTCAATGTATGTCAGATCATTTCGTCCTATTATGATGTCATCAACGTAAATGAGCAGCACAGTGTAAGAGCAGTCAGTTCTCTTGCTGAAAAGTGAGTAATCAGACTTAGATTGAACAAAACCTTGAGATATGATGAAGGATGACAGCTTGGTATTCCATTGCCTTGAGGCTTGTTTGAGTCCATAGATAGATTTGTTAAGTTTGCATACCAATGTGACACCATTCTCCCCCTGCTGCTCATACCCTGGAGGCATCTTCATATATACTTCTTCCTCGAGGTCTCCATGAAGGAAGGCATTGTTTATGTCCAGCTGGTGCAGATGCCAACTTTTACTGGCTGCAACTGCCAACAAAGCCTTGACAGAAGCTAACTTAGCCACAGGAGAAAAGGTTTCTTGATAATCAAGTCCAGCCTGTTGAGTAAATCCCCGGGCAACTAACCTGGCTTTCTTTCTATCTTCAGTTCCATCTTGCTTAAGTTTGATCTTGTACACCCACTTACAATCCACTGCCTTCTTATTTGTAGGAAGTGAGGTGACTGTCCAGGTATTATTATTAACTAAAGCCTGATATTCATCATTCATGGCTTGACACCAAGCTGGGGATCGAATTGCCTCTATAAAATTCCTTGGCTCAACATTGGTAGATAGTGACAACACATAAGACCTGTGAGCTGATGAAAGTGAATCATAACCTAAAGTGTTGGATATATCACAGGATTTGCCAGCAACATGATTGGGAGTAGGTGAGGTATAATGTTGCTGGGAACGTTGAGAGGCTAGGTTACAATGGTACTGTTGGAGATAGCTGGGAGGTTTTCGAAGTCTAGTAGATCTGCGAAGAGGATTGACATTGGAATGTTGTGAAATAGATTGAGGGATAGGATTAGATATAGGTGAGGATGGGGATGGGGATGGGGATAAGGATACAGGAGTAGAGGTAGAAGGTGGCAAAGATGGACTAGGTTGTGAAGGTAAGGATGATGTATGAGGAATGCAATCTGATATAAGAGGAGATGAAAGAGGGAATAAAGGAGCTTGTGGAGATTGAGTAGAAGTTGCATCATAGTAACCAAGGGTAGCTAGGAATGTAGGATCATTGAATGGAAATATATTTTCATGAAAAATGACATCCCTAGAAACAAAGACCTCATGTGTATGCAGATTGTACAGCTTGTATCCCTTTTGAGTGGGAGGATAACCAATGAAGATACAAGGAATAGCTCTAGGGTCAAACTTATGCCTATGCCTTTGAAGAGTGGAAGCATAGCATAGTGAACCAAACACTCTTAAATGAGAATAAGAGGGCTTTGCTGAGAATAGGATCTCATAAGGGGAGTTGTTTGAGAGAGATGTACTGGGTATACGATTAATGAGATGTGTGGCTGTCAAAATACAATCTCCCCAAAATTTGTCAGGAAGTTTGGCTTGGAATTTCAAAGCTCTAGCAACGTTCAATAAGTGTTGATGTTTACGTTCAACTATGCCATTTTGTTGTGGTCTCTCAACACAACTCATTTGATGTATGATCCCTTTTGAGGAATAAAAGTCAGTCATGATAAATTCAGCACCATTATCAGATCTTAGTGCCTTAATTTTGGTACTAAACTGAGTTTCAACCATATTGGAAAAGGTTAGGATAATTTGTCTGGTTTGTGACTTAGTTCTCATTAGGAAAGTCCATGTGGATCTACTATAGTCATCCACTATAGTCAAGAAATATTTCGAACCATCAAGTGAATGTGATTGATAAGGGCCCCAAATATCACAATGAATTAGCTCAAAAATGGATTGAGAAACATGTAAACTATGAGGAAAAGGTAATCGATGCTGCCTTGCCATAGGACAAATATTACAATGAAAATCAGAATTCAACACAATTTCAGGTACAAATTTTGTAAAGTGGAAACTTTAGAATGAGGAATATGTCCTAACCTATAGTGCCATAGTTCAAAAGGCAACCTAGTGACAGCATTAAAACTAGGAACATGGTCATTGTTCATGACTTTATTACAACCAGCATTGAAATGATGAAGAACAGATTTGTTGGAACAGGTAGTGTGTGATGGACCACTGTTTGAAGGAGTACGAAGCTGGTAATGATATAATCCAGCTTCAAGTTTCCCAACTCCAATCGTTGTCCATGTAGAACGGTCCTGAATGAGGCAATGGTCAGATAGGAATATTAGGCAACAATGGTGAGAATGAATGAGTTTGCTAACAGAAATCAGATTGCATTGGAAAGAAGGAATGCACAACACATTGGTTAATGATAGATTTTCAGACAACTTCACAGATCCTATATAAGTCACACGAGCCTCATCTCCATTAGGAAGTTTAACACTTGCATTTACCTCAGCAGTAATGGAGGATAAATGACTGTTAGAACACACCATGTGATCTGTGGCACCAGTGTCAATTATCCATTTATCTTTAACAGCTGAGACTGCTAGACAATAAGCGTTACCTGAGAATGAGAGAACATCTGGCATAACTAGGTTTGCTTGGCTTTGATTATCAGCATTTCCAGATTGAGTGTGAAGTTGTGGCTTCAGTATATTGAGAACTTGTTGGCATTGTTCCGGTGTGATAGTCAAACTTGAGAAACCATTTGATAGATCAGAAGAATTAGCATTTCCAGTTGCTTGATGTGCACTCGAAATTGATTCCTTGCTTCTGTCCTTTGCCAACCTATGTCCTGGAGGATATCCATGAAGTTTATAACATTTCCCTTGTATATGTCCAAGCATCCCACAGTAATTGCATCTTGGCCGTTCCTTCCTTGAATTTTGGTTTGTGTGTGCTGATCTCTGGTTATTTCCAAAATTTGTTGAATTATTCATCAATCTACTCACAAATGCACCAGTTTCCACATGAACCTGGGTCCTTGATGCAATATCTCTCTGCCTTTCATCTTGTTGAACTAATGCAAACACTTTGTTCAACGTTGGTAAAGGCTCCATCAGTAATATCTGACTTCTTACATTGGAATAGCACTCATCTAACCCCATTAGGAACTGCAATATCTGTTCCTCTTCATAATAAGGATTGTGAGTTTAAGGCCTATAATTTGATAATTCTTCCCATAACCCCTTTAACCTATTAAAGTAAGCATTCACAGATCCATTTCCCTGTGTAATCGAAGCAATTAACTTTTTCAATTGATAAATTCTAGGTCCATTACCCTGACTGTACCTATCCTTCAATTCAAGCCAGATTTCACGGGACGATTCCTTGTGCATAACACTAGGATACAACTCCTTAGGAATCGAATTTATGATCCATGATGAAACAATGTGATTATATCTACGCCAAGCAGCATATAGAGGTGAATCTACTAAAGGTCTTGATAAAGATCCATCAATGAAACCTTCTTTGTTTTTCACGCTCAAAGCCATTTCCACAGCTCGACTCCACGTCGAGTAATTTTCATCAGAAAGCATAACCGACACGATCTGCATACCTGTGTTATCTCCATAGTGTACGTAATAAGGACTCGCAGGATCTGAAATCATTCGTTGAGCTGCAATTATCAGATCTTCACCACGATTATCAGCTTTTGGGGAAGAATCGTTAGTCGAAGCTTCAATTTCAGCATCTGAATTCGTTGCCATGAAGAATGAAAAATGTGCAGAACACAGGAAATCACAGATCTGCTTTCTACGTCAAGTAACTGATGGAGATCAATTAACTCCAGAAAATTGCAGCAGCAGGAAGTATCTGCTCTGATACCATGTGAATTTTATACTACAATTGGAGAGTAAAATGAGAGAAGGCACGAATGGGAAAGAACTTTTCTCACTAACTGATGTTCATGATACAATTGTGTATATATATACATTTAACCAAAATGACAACTCAGCTAACATGACAGCTCAGCTAACATGGTGAATTACATAAATAACCCTACATTCCCGTAAATTAACTGGATTAATATGTCGTGTTTCTAACCATTTAAGCTTTTAGACAAGTATAACACCAGCAAATATGAGAACGTATGAGTAAAGTCGACTGTGTTAATGGACTTTTTTGGAGTCTGGCTTCTTTTCAATTTCTTTTCTGATTGCATATTTAGTTGCGTTGAAGTGGTATGTAATGATATCTTTTATCTGCATGGTTCTTGACATTTACTTGGTTAAGTGGAAGTTAAATTTTGATTTCCCAAGTGGTTAGCTGATTGATTTCTGAAAGTTCTTGAGGCATCCCCACATTAATTTTTGTTGAAATAAATTGAGTAAGCACTTGGAACTTATTTTTGTGAAATACAGAAAAAATCTAGTAAGTTGAGATTAAGTCGACTGAGATCACCAAAATGAATGGTTGCCAATAACGTGCATGATTTAACGGACTTAAATAAGCGATACCTAGCTTTCAGTAATTAAGTAATCTGAATATAGAGTTGCTGCTAATTTTTCAAATAAGGTTTTCTTGCATTAATTTTTATCCCTTGATGCACTGTCTTGGTTATTGGTCATATATATTGAAAATGCAATTAGCTAAATTTCTTCCATTTTCTAATGAGTATCATGAATACTATAATCATAATTTTGAGCTTCTGATCAATTGAGTAATCTGAATCTAACTACGTTAACATAAGATAAGCTAAAAGAGGAGCCTGCTGGACTTCCACCTGCATCTTGATGATGGAATAACATTGAAATTATTTAGGTTTGGTAAATTGGATTCTGAAATAATCTGTTTGCTTAAGGAATTATTCAAATCTCCCTATTCAATTTTCACTTCGTGGAATACAACCAAATATATTTCATGAAACCCCCTGAAATTAAGCAAGAACATATCCCCCAAAGCGTCGACCCAAAAACCTCTGCATTGAGTAAAAAGGCCTCTTTGGTTCACCTACTAGTTTGGTACATCATTTGGGCAAGAAGTAACGTAATTGCCTATTTTAATAAATATGAATAAGAAAACCCCATGACGAACCTTTTTTATTGACTTAATGATGTTTGCTCAAATCTGCTCACTTCAACACTCTTAAAAGAATTTATGAATCTATTTCTTAGGTTATGGGCTGCATTGTCCTGGTCTTGGAGTTTTGTGCTGGGGGAAATCTAGCTTCATACATTCGACGTTGTGGCAGAGTTCAAGAATGCACCGCTAAAAGATTCATGCAGCAGCTCGGTAAATTATAATTTATATTTTATTGCGTATGTGTTTTTATGATTTTCTCATTTGACATCACTTTTCTACATTGCAGGAGCTGGTTTGAAGGTTTTGAGATTACATAACATTATCCACCGCGACCTGAAACCCGAAGTAAGAATTCCCATTTCAAGTGAGAAGAAATACTTTTTGCTTGTGTACACTATATGAATAATTCTTTTTTTTTTCCTCACCACTGTCTCAGAATATTCTTTTATCTTCTTGTGAATGCGACCCAGTTCTAAAAATTGCTGATTTTGGACTTTCAAGGTAATTTAACAACAATATAGATTCACAGCATTCTTAATCTTGAATGAACTAAAGAAGTTCATTTGGATCAGGATTTTACGTCCGGATGAATATGCAGAGACTGTTTGTGGTTCACCAATGTACATGGCTCCAGAAGTTTTAGAGTTTCAAAGATATGACGAAAAGGTTGTAAGCTTTTTGTTGTTTTGTTAATAGAATAATGATACCTATATATAATGGAGTTATATAATGATTTATATACAATTAGTGTTCAAAATAGAGTGAGGAAATTTTTTTTCTATTTTTATTCGGTTGAAGAGATTCTGATCAAATCATATGTTACCGCATTATGTATATGTAAATCATTATATACATGTAGCATAAACGTTTGTTAAATGGGACAAAACTGAGGGTGAGAATATCTTTATAGGTCGACATGTGGAGCATTGGTGCAATTCTTTTTGAACTTCTCAATGGCTGCCCTCCTTTTCATGGTCGGAGTAGTGTCCAGGTATCACCTTGGGTTATACTAGAATGTCCTTGTTCTACTTTGCCATCATGCCTTTCCTTAACTAAGATTTTGATTGATTCAGCTTCTACAGAATATCAAGGCCTCTACATCCCCTCCTTTTTCTCAACTAGTTCTTCCACAGTTGCACCCCGACTCTATTGATTTATGTACAAGATTATTGTCGACAAATCCAGGTTTACCATATTGATTTTAGAGCATGTGAATTTGCTTTATAGCGAGACTCTATATTCCAAGATCAAGTCGATGCATGTCTCTATCTTTGCAGATAATCGTTTGTCCTTTGATGAGTTTTATCAGCACAACTTCTTACAAATTGGGAAATGAAGCGTAACCTCCGAAGATAGAAGTTAACAATACAGAATCTTATCAGTACAAGGACAGCCTCTAACAAACATAGCAGGTTTGATAATAACATGTACATCGTGTACTCAAAATTAACTGTTTAACTCCTTACTTTGTTTCAGCAAATTGTATGTTGTTAATTTGTACAGAATCGTCGTAACTTTTTTTTAATGATGTACTCGAGCCTGATGAAATCCTGGCTGAATTTATGTAAAATCGATTGGTTAACTCATATTCTATTCAGGTGGCACTTGTTGTCACTTGATTTTTGACAACCTACCTTAAATGTTTTCGAGTATAAAATAATTGTAAGCTTTTCAATTTTTGTAGGAAGGTCATCTTATTGGGCAGCTATGGAGTTGAAGTTATATGCTAGCCCTCTATAATTAGTACTTGTTTGGAAGAGATTGAATGATAATTTAGTGCTTGTTTGGTAAGAATTTTGATAATTGATTTTTGGACTGTTAGAGATAAAGTTGGTTCTATCTGTGAGAGAAGAATTCAAAAATAATGGCTGAAATAGTGAAATAACAGTCAAAAAATTGATTTTTAATTGGCTTAAAATCTGTACCAAACTAGCATTTAATCAGCAGGCCTCGTAGAATGTCATTATAAAGTAAGTAATAGTAGTTGTGGATCCTATAAAATGTATGGATAAAAATTATATTTGAAAAAATATATATAATAGTAATAAATAAAATAAAAAACATATTTTCAAGTCTTCCAAATGAGCCCTCATAGCATGTTTGAGAACCGTTTGTAAACGATTTAAATTATGAATAGCAAGATTCTAAAAGGCGTGGCATGGCAAGGTGTGAATGTCAAGTCTAGAATATAATATCAATTAAAAGCAAAAGAAAAACAAATCTTACTATAAAAAAGTATTAAGACATAAAAATATTGATAAAACAAATATATTATTACGATTGTAATAATTCAAACACAATCTGATATAATAGGCTTTAATTAGAAGCAAAATAATGCAATATCTATTGTGATTTCATAAGGTGTTTCGATGGATTTTTTTATTGAACTAACAACATTATCTTTGCACTCAAATTTTATCTTTGCAATCTTATCTTTGCACCCATTATCATTTTCTTTCCACCCAAAATTTTATCTATGCAGTCAGACGGATCCTAACAATCTTATCCCTAGTAAAAAAAGGGGAAAAAGGAAAAAAGAAATTCATCTCTAACCCTAATCTTGGCTCACATAAAAGCAACGAGAAATGTGAAATTCTAGCCTTGCGGGAAGGGATTTTGTCCATACTCAATTCAAGAGATTTTGTCCATACTCAATTCAAGAGAAATAAATTATAATGATTAGTAAACATTAGTACTCTCACTGTATAGCAAGCTAAGGATTAAGGATTATGAGATAAATTTGCAAATGGGAGCACCTTACGATGTTCACGACCACTTGAATCCAACATATCATTGTGTACTAGAAAAGATCACTGTGATTGTTTTTGTATTTGTATGTTATAGTGTTCGAATAATTGTTCGACGTCATAATCAAATGCTTAATGGCATGATCACAAGTTATGTACTCCATCACGATGTTTTATGAAACTATTCATGGAATCATGCGTCGAAAACCTATAAAAGTGTCATTCATGATGAGACTCGGGTTAAGCATTTTCTCGAAACTCTGTGGGGTTAGGAGCATCCCGAGTTTGGCGCATCTCATTGTGCGTGAAGAAGCATTGGGAACCCCAATTTCTTTCTTTGGATCTATTTTCTATATCCCCTAGACTGGGACTAAGCAAAAAAATAAAAAAATCAACCAAACCAAATAAATCGAACCAATTCGGGCCTATTCAAGTCAATTTGACATAGGTAATTATTTGGTTTGGTTTTCTTTTAAACAAACCACGGTATGTCGATTCAGCTATGGTCTGAAACCTCTAACAACTGGTTAACCGAATCAACCCAATCCACTTACATATTTACCATTTTTTAAGAAAAATCAAAAGATAAATCTTAATCTCATAAATATATCTCAATTCTCTCCAATCTATAATGTTACTAGTGAGTGATAGCATTGAAAATTTCCTTTCACAAGCTCATTATGTTATGTTTAGTTTTTTTTCTACCCAAGGAGTCAGGCAATATAATGCATAAAAAAACCAAATTCTTAAATTTTTTTTATTGATCCGACTCTATTAACCTGATTCTATTTGTTAATCAATAGTTTTTATAATATAAGTTATTTAGTTATTGTGATCAAAGCGGTCCCAAAACTCGGACATTTTTTTTAAAAATGATTTAGTCCAAATCGATTTTTTTGGTTCAGTTCTATTTAGTAGCTGAGGGTTAGTTTGAGTTGAAATTCGTCCAAATTGACTGATTTGATTTTTGGTTTGGTTTTGAGTCAAAACCGACCCAAACGAAGCCGTGCCAGGTCTAACCCTCAACTTTGGCATATTGCTCTGTTTTCATTTTTTTGAAATGATCAACTTGGTTTTTTCTTCTTCATCAATCGAGGAAAAAATGAAATGTTCACCCGTGGGAAGCTAAACATCAATTAAGTGGCTTGATGTGGATAAATAAATTGACACATCGAAGTTGGTTGATAAATTACTGCATCTAATATCCGAAAGACCTTGTCAGTGGACCATTATTGTTCCATTCCTGAGTGAGCTGGAGCTAATCTTACTCATCGAACTAGTCGGAAAATATCGCTTTGGGTCAAAGCATTAGATGAAGAGGACCTAAAACGCAACAACATAGGGACCTTGGAACCACTATTAGTAAAAGGAAAATGGAAGTGCACACTCACCAAAACGCAGATGGACCATCTTCGGTTAAAAAAATCAATCTTGTGTTTGCTTGTGTTTCTTTGTGTTTGTTAAAGTGATGATTAGGAAATTTGACGAAAAATGCTATTTATCATTATTGCTATTACATCAATTTAGATGATACTAAGAGTGTGTTTAATTGACATGAAAAATATCAACTAAAAAAAAAATATTTTTCTTGTTTTGAGAAAAACAAAATCCTACTGCCTCAAAAAAAAAAATAATATATATACATATATTCCTTAAAAATAAGGAAAATTAGGCATATTTTTAAAAGTTGAAAATTATTTTCAATGGAAAAATTAGCAATCAAACACTCCAAAGTAGGAATTTTTGTTAAAAACTTCTAAAAAAATAATAAACTTGTCCATTTTTTATTGGCAAGTAGATGAGAAAGAAAGAGATGGTGAATTACCTAAAAAATAAAAACCAAATCCCACTAAAGAAAATATTTTCCGTGTTTTCAAGGAAAATATGATCACTTGGCCAAAAGTAAAAAAATATTTTCCATGAAACAATATATCAATCAAACAGCACAAAAATGATAATTTGAGTGGAAAAATGATTTTTTTTCATGAAAAATATTGATAATCAAAGAACACATAATTTCACCATTAAAACATATCATATAATGTCATATAGACGAGTATTCTAACACAAGTAAAATTATTCTTTTTCAGTGGACATGGACAGGGGAATGGGAATTGTGAAACTATGATTCCTTTAACCCCGTGGAAACAATAATTCTTGATCGATTTATAAGTGGTAATTTTTATTTAGAGGGTGTTTGAAATTCATTTTTACGGAAAAATGAATTTTAAAATGGATTTTTCCCTAACTGCAATGAAAACTTACAGAATGGATACAGGATTTTGAAATGAAAAAATGCTGTCCGTCTGTATTTTATGTTTTTTTCCCCATTTTTAAATGATGTTTCGACACTTGAGTCTATGAAAACTTTTTGTGTAAAAACTTGTACTTGTAGCGTAACTCTTTTAGAATAGTAGATTGATGGTAAATATGTGGATAAAAAGGAATTTTTTTTTATTTACATGTAATATTATTTTAATAAAAAATGTATAGTTAAAAAAAAAAAAATGTATTTCAATAAAAATAGAACAACCCTGCTGTGTGTGGCTTCATACAGAAGCCTGCAGAATACACACGTGGAGGCGTGGGTGAGGGTATTTTTTGATAATGTTTTATTCACGATGAATTTCACACACAAAAATAATCTGACCAAATTCTATGGAAATTTTTCCGTACAAATGGATTAATACAAATTAGAATCCACGCATTACTAATTTTCTCAATAACATGTCACGTCCCATGACCGCAGAACCGCTTCTCTCTTGCCCACTTGCTTCTCTCTCTGCGTATTTAAATCCGATATTCCCACATATATCTCAGATGTAAAATACATTCCAATATTTATACGAACCAAGCGATCTAGGGTTTTGCAAAAAATCAGAAGATTTCCCATTTTTCTTCATGGCAAAGAAGAGGAAATCCGATGCAACGCGCCTAGATGAGGTGGATCGTACCTTGTACACCACTTTTAGCAGCGCGGCCAACTCCCTATCCCACCTCTACTCCCAGGCCATGCATCACCAGAAGGTCTCCTTCCAGGCCGGTGAGCGCCACTCTCTGGTACGTTCTTTGTCTTCTTCTCTTTTATGGATTTTTCTGTAATTGAGTTTTAGGTAATGTCCGCGTAATTTTTATCGATTATCTTGAGGTACGTTATGAACTATTTCCAATAAATTGATATATATATTTTTTTAATTATATGTGCTTCACTTTATTTTAACCTGAATTTAGTAATATAGTAAAAATCCAATTAATCGTTGATATGGTATTTTTAGTTCCAGTAATATTCTACACCCACTTTTTAGCTGTGGCGTGTTTTATTTTGCAGTTTATTTGGTAGCTGGATTAAGAACAGGTAAATTTGACTTTCTTTTTCATAAGTATATATATATTTTTTTGTTGCATTGTTCTGAAAAAACATTTGAAGCTTGTGTTGTGAGGAGTGCCTGACAAGTGTCCTTTGTTAGGTTGTCTTTAAGCTTATGCTCTAAGTATCATTTCTAGGCTTATACCTTGACTTATAGAGAAAATGCTTCATTTGTCTTATAGTTTCTGGGTTTTTTAATTATCAACCTTGGTTCTTTGGACTAACTTTCATGGACTGGAATGTTTAAAGGCTTTCCTATGCTATTTAAACACAGTCCAAACCTAAAAATTAGAAAAAAAAAATAAAAAAATTACTATATCTTAATGGTGACGTTTTCCTAAGGCATGATGTAGCTTGACTAATCTGAAAAAAAAAATATTTTTCATGCAGTCTATAAGTTTGTTTTGTTTCCTTTTAATGTCAATGAATAACTAGTCCCCATTGTACCATTTGCTTTTTAGTTCTCATTGTGGATTAGTGGCCTGGTTATGTGATAACTGGATTCTTATTCATTTTTTGCTACGTCGTCAATTTTAAGTTTAGCTGCAAATTAGACTTTAATTTTGTGCAGTGTTCTATCATTATAATTTTTAGGTGGCTTATGGTTTGTTACGAGGGCAATATTGTATCTTCTCTAAATTTTTGAATTATTTTAGTGATTTCTGTTGAAGCGTGAGGCTTACCTCGCTGCCACCATGCCTCAATACCCGTTAGCCTGTTAAAAGTTTGTTTGTTCGTTCACTATGTATGGGCTAACTAATAAATAACTAATCAAGAACTATTTATGTAGGAAAAGCTTTATAATTGGATTGCAAGACAACACGAAGATGGGGCAAGAGTGGGAACCAATGATATGCTTGCATATATTCAGGTCTCTTTTCTTACAAATTACAATTTCCACTTTACGATAAATTATTTGAAAAGCGCTCATGCATATTTGTCTGCAAATTAATTAGTGTAATTATATGTACTTGGTCCGTCATCTTTGTATGGTGTACTCTTGTATAGACTTGTTTTGGTAAAAATTGATTGTGTGTTGTGATGCATTTTGTTGTCAAAGGAAGATTCCGTTTTCCTTGGTGTAGATTCAGCAATACATGGATGTTGGTCCATATCAGTTGCATCAAGTTACATTGTGTTTGCGTATTGAGTTCTGATATAGTTACTGACTAACAGGAATGTGATTAAATTATTTGAGTGCTGACTGAGATTGTCCAAGTTTCGTAGTATCACTGTAAATGAAAGTTGTTTCTGGACTAGCAAATTTTACTTGCACAGGCATGAGTTATGAAAATTTTTAACCTTTATCCAAAATGCTTTTAAGATGTTTGGTCTAGTCTTATAATTGAAATGGAGCTCAAGAAATTATTTTGTCTTTTTTTGGCTGCAAGGTGCTGTGACAGTGTGGAACCAGTACGTTAGGACTTATAACCCAAAGACTAATATTTGTTCCACTAAATTGACGGGTCCAGAGAATTAAGAGTCGATCTGTTATCATTGCAATGTACTGGAGGGTTAGCACCAAGATGAAAAGTTGTATAGAATATGAGTAAGCTGTCATATCTTTTAATAGGGTGGTTTTCCTAATTGTTCTGTCGTTAATTGTAGTTTTTTTTTTTTTTTTTTTTTTTCAAAAACCAGTGATGGAAATTAACAACGGAATTTTAATCATTAAGCAATCACTAATACATTTTTTACAATGAAAGGTATACATACATACACACACACACACACACACATATATATATATATATATATATATATATATATATAAAAGAAATGGATTTAGTGAGGGAGGTAATCGATCACTGATTCTGTTACTGGTTTTTTATTTTATATTATATAAACTAAAAAGTCAATTTAAATAAGTGAAAAAAATTTAGCCAGAGATTTTTGTGCTGCTAATTTTTTTAACAAATAACATTCTTTTTTATAATTCCAAAACTGAAAATATTTATTATACAATTACTGATTTACTAATGGATTTTAGGAAGGGAAGTTACACACACACACACATATATTGTATTTACTCTGGATATGTCTGGGATGGATTTTTTTTTGTTCATAGAGCTCTGTATTTCTCTCTTTCTGAGTCTTGAATTGCATATAATGTTACTCTGTGAGAGATATTTACATGAATTTAAAATGTTCTTTTCCTTTGTCTTCATCCATCTGCAATTACATCTTCAGCTTCATTATGAGTTTCTTTCTTTCCTATCTTCCCCCTTTTGGCTGGGAGTCATAGAGGATGGAAGTAAGCTTCTTGTTATTTTACGCCTCGCTTCATTGCGAAGACCATGTATCTTGCTCTTCTTGTAGCCTAGAAAGGTTATCTGCTAGAAATCTGTCTCTGTCAGAGTTTAGAGCTTTGTATAATGTCCTAGGGTGGAAATGATTCAATTAATTCAGTTTGTATCTCAGCCTAAATATTTAACGTTGATCTTAAACTTTGTGGAGGCACAAACTATAACTACAGTCAACCAATCCAGTTTATATCCGCTGATAAGTGATAAAACTAAGTGATTTGTTCCTGGATTTGTCTCAATTTCAGCTGCATCAGTCTCAATCCCTAATTTACAAATTCCACATAGTGATAGGCTGGCCTTGCGCAAAACTTCTCTGCCTCCTCGTTTCCAAAAAAATCCACCTGGCTCATGCAGCTTTAGGGTAAAGCTACAGTCTTGGTTCAAAAAATAGCACTTGAGCTAATTGATGCACGCATGACACATATGTAACTCTTAAAAAAGAGTATCTCTTCTTGTCATAATTTCTTCATTTCAAATAAGTCAAATCTTAATTTCTAGGAACTTATGTTCAGAATAACTTGTACAAAAATTACCCTTGAAATATTGGAGCTCTTGAAAATTACCCTTGAATTTATGTTAAATTTATCATTTTTCCTTTCTTTTGAAGAATTGTGATAAATTCAATCAGATAGTTGACATGCTACAAGTACCAAACATGTGAGAGAACAAATAATTTCTATTGTCACTTTCTCACAGTTATACAAGTTCAAATAATTTTGTTACCAATATAATGCAAATGGAGAATTATATGGGCAATGAGTAATTTAACCTTCATATGATGTATCCCAAATATCTATTAGAATCCAACTCTAATCAACAATTGTATTGAGCTCAATATTTAACTAATAACTAAAAATCCCAAATCAAATTTAACAATTAAATTTAAATTTCTATCTCATACAAAAGATCGTTCGAAAAAAAATTCACAATGGAAAGCATATGATAACTAAAATAATTTACATGTGACAAAGAATTCCGAAGGCATACATTATGCATGTATAGCATGGAAATAGAAAAAATATCAATCAAAGATGCAAATTGCTCAAAATGTGACATTCATCCTATTCCAATAGCTACCTTTATTTAATTCCTTTTAACTTTTGTAACAAAGTAATGGGTTAAGATTGTACTGGACCAGAGGTCAACTTCAAGACAATAAAATTTACAGGTGGACTAACTTTTAACTGCAAAAATGCTAAAGCAGTTTAAATTTATTAGTTTTTCCAATTCACTGATTGGCCAATTACCATCAATTATGATTATTGTAGAATGATCACAGTTTATTAATTTGCATTGGCAATCAAATATCTAGCAATTTGGGCTAGGGACTGGCACCTAGCACAAGTTATTTGCCAAGCAACAGAGGAAGTTTTTCCTTAAATTTACTTCTTTCTTTTCTTTTCTTTACATTAGTGCGTCCAAACAAAATAAAATAATTATTGTGGCATGTAAATGAAACTGCTGCCAAGCACCTTTTTTTCTTAAAAAAATTATACATTTCACTATACATATGTGCATCTAAATTTTGTCATAGAAATTTGTCTTCTCCATGAAAAAGGGTTGTTCATTTTAGAAACCATATAAAAGCCTTTGTCAACAATATATTTCTCTAGAATATTTATATGTAGTAATTTATCTTCGAGAAGCATGATAGAGAATTCTTAAATAAAATTGTGATTATATAAAAATCATGCACAATATTCTTCAAGAATATGTATAAAAAAATTTACACTTGAAAGCAACAATATAATATTTTTGTGTCAGTATTCTCAAAATAATAAGTTTTCTTCAAGAATAACAACTCAATGTTTAATTGTTTAATTTGTGCTTTTTTAGGAACACGATGTGATATATTCTTTTAGGATAATATCATATTAAAGTCATGTTATTTTAAGAACTACTTCATACTTTTATTCTTAAAGTTATGGTTCTTCGAAAGTATTATCACATATTTTTAAAAAAATATATTAATTTGTATATAAAGTTGTTATTTGGGACCAACAAAATATTCTTCTATATTAATATTGATTAAATCTCTATTTGAGCCCAATTTTTGGGAGAGAAGATTTTGTAATAATGATTTTTTTAAGAATACGTAGTTAAAAAGTGGAAAAGAGCTTTTAGATTTACGTGTAAATTATTTTATTAGGAGAATGTATGATTGAAAATGAGTTTAGAAAAAAAGAGTTTAGAAAGAATGGCTCAAACAGGGGCTAAATTGCTTCTTAAGGAGAAATATTCTTTTGAGATATTGTCTGAATTTGTGTTTCTCCATGAGCAATGAAAAAATTCTTCTGGAATGATTATAATTAAAAAATAACTCATTATTCTTCTAGGATATTGATTTTAAATTCATACTCTTTCAAGACTAATAATACAATCTTCTAGTGTAGTTCAATAATCTTGAATGAAAAATATGATGATATTTAGCCCCCGTTTGGTCCCCATTAATTTTCATTTCATTACATTTCATTTTTCTCTTTTCTATTTTCAACTACACAATCGTCCATAAAATAATAATACATGTAAATAAATAAATAAAAAAATCATTCTTTTTCAACCACTCATTTTAAAAAAAAAAAATACTATTTCACCCATTTCAGTGGGCTCATACAGAAATATAAATAATTGTGTTGATGACTAGTCATAAAATTAGAGAGACAAGAACAAGAGAGAGAAGTAGATCGAGATAATACCCGTTGGTGAATTTTATTGAGAATCAAGGTCTCATATTTATAGGTTACAATTGGGCCTGCAGGGTTACAATAGTCATTCACAAATACTAACTAATTTACAATCGATATCAATTAATAGTTGTGTAGTTAGAAGGTATCATTTTAGTCACATTATCAGAATCTTTTTTAAGTTATGATGCCATGCAATTTTGTGATATGCAAAACGAGAATAACTTCCATGAATTGAGAAACTGCCAAATGGCTATATAAATAAAAAGATCAGGTGCAATATATTAAAGATAGTGTTAATTTAAAATTTTGAAAATTTGGTGAGAATAGGAAAATTGAAGACTGAAATTTTTGGCTAGATATATGTTATTATCCAGTTCTAGTCTTTCATTTTGCTTTCAAAAAAAATTGAAAATTCAGAGCACTAAACTGAATTTCAAAAAATAAAAAATAAAATAAAAAATAAAAATTGAATGGAACTGTGCCAATAGTCTTGATGGTAAGGTGTTATTTATGTTTCTGTGGGGAGGAGGTGGGGGAAGTAGGAGGGGGGGATTGAAGAGCCTGACAGTTGAAGCAGCTTGAGCATGACAAACCCGGTATGTTCATTTGAGGGAATCCAATTTGTATACATCATGGAAAGGATGGTGACAGGTTTTATCTACATATTCCATGGAAGTCAATTAATCTTTTTTCTTTCTTTTACCTTCTGCTTGGCATGTTCTGTTTCTGTAATATTTTCTCCTCCTACTAAAGAGAAGACCTTACATGGCTAATGACATTATATTCAGTTTTTTTTTTTTTTTTTTATAGTCGATACTCTCTGGTTTGCGAAATATTTATATCGCTGAAGATAGACTCGTACACAGAAGTAGAACCATACTTAAACTTTTCCTGGAGTTTCCTTCGTCCAGGGATGATGTTTAGAGTAGTCTGCACATGTATTTATTCACAGGATTTTAAGTTTTCTGAATTTTATTCTGTAAAATGAGATAGATATAAGAATGAGAAGAGCAAAATGGTTAAAAACTCGGGAAATTCTGTAGTTAAATAGAATTTGTGGTGTGTGTAATCAAGAAACCTTATTTGTTCATTCTTAGAATTGACTCATAAGTGCAAAACGCAGTCAATTTAAGAGGATTATTTTGTGCTTCATTGTATCATGTGAAGCGTTTCGCGTTGAAATCTTTTGCATACTGTAATCAGTTTCTGTGGGGGCAAATGAAAGCAACATTGAACGCTCCTTGAAGTTCCATTTTTTGGACAGAATTCTTTCGACAACTAGTATGTTTGTTTCAAAGCACATTGTTTTGACCCTTTTTCTTTGCTCATTGTATATGCAGAACGAGCTTGATCATGGGACTGATGAACCCCCACCATCGCCGAGGTTGCCATTCCAGCAGCAGCAACAGTCTCAAACTGCAATGCAGACGATTCACTCAGGATTCCCACTGTCTTCCAATTCATCTGGTCCTGCAAATACGCGTTCTGTGAACTCCGATAACCAATCTAAAAACTCCGTTTTCTCGAATGCTCTCTCCAGTCCCATCCGTCGAAGTCTCCAGCACTATCATTTGATGCAGGGAGGTCAATCGGCAAATAATGTTATGCGAAACAACGAGAATAATGGTTCCCAAAGTAGGGATCCTAATCCACCTAGCTCGAATGACACTTCAATGGACATGCATGCTGATAGCCCCGATTATGATTCTCATTGCTGAGATTGCATCTATGTTCGGAAGCCTGAAGATCTCCAGGTGCAAACAGGATACTGAATGTTGATGAAGAATGAAGAGCTTTGTCCTTTGGGTGAATGAGCTTAAGAGAAGTCCGTTTCTGCGTCGTCTGATGGAAATGGGCATGTTCCTGGTCACGTCAATATTAATTGGTCATTTTATCCTTTCGAATTCTGCTGCTCGTTGTATAGTTTCTTTGACGACAAAGGTTAGTTCATCTAATATCTGTGCTCTTTGGGTGAGGTGATTCTCTCTGAGGTTGCTTTTTAATATATTTTTGAGATGATTTTGTTGTATGTTTGGTTTGAGCTGTACTTGTCTACTAAAATCTAATTTTTAACAAATCAAACAGGGGTTAAGTGAATTGAACTTCATTAATTTATAATATTTTTAGCCTCGATATTTCAAATTCTCTCTTTTTAATAATTTTCCATGAAATATTTTCAAGAAGAGTCCTTCATATTAAAGTTGAGAAAAGGTCAAATATATGTACATCAACAATTACAATATGAAATGATACAATATGATCATGATTCATGACCATACACTTACAAATATTGGAAGGGCGAAGAGTTTCGAGGATGAAAATTCTATCTGGTAATTGATTTTATATGGCTGTGGACAGGCACTAGATAAAACAATTAAAAAAAAAAAAGTTTCTTTTTGCACTTCACACTTCATTATATTTGTTTGTAAATTTGCTCTTAATCCACTTGAAATTATTTCTCAAGAACGACTTCAACTTACCTTCCATAGAATACATCTTATAACTCGCCACCCTTTTCCTCCTCTTCACCTCAGGAATTTCCTCCGGGCCATTGAAGCTAAAAGATTTAGCACGATCTTCAAAGTCGACCCGGGCTTCTGCATAAGAAGATGGATAATAAGGGAATGATTTACTTTTCTCCATGATCAAAGAGCTTGAGGAAGAACAAGAATCCCCTTCTAATCTTAAACACAAATGAGAGACAAAATAAATAAAGATGGACCCCATACAAAGAAATGTGTACCTTAGTGTCGGATGCATGCGCCATCAAGTCACTTGATTTAACTAACAATCATGCTACACATTCAAATTCAAATTCAAACTCAAATTCAAATGGGACACGTATCAACACATTCAGATTCAAAGTCAAACTCAAATTCAAGTGGGACACGTATCAACATATGATTGGACAATTTTAAAAGTTAAAACAAAAATACCTAATCATTTTTTGACATATAAAGCTTCTTTTCACTCCCTGTTTTTAAGACTAGCGAAATAGCTTTATTGTTTAACTAATGTAACGTACATCTGACTGTATTATTTAAAAGATTAAATTGAAAAAAAAAATGACGCTTACATTATATTTGCATCTTTACACATTCTTTTACTTGAACTTGGATGTACTATCGTGAACTATATCATTTTAAAAGTTTAGTTAATGTAGAAAAGACGAATTTGTTTATTTATATTTTTATTTTAACAATATAAGAAAATTATATGATAGATATATGACAAAATGTTAGTGTTATGCTAGTACTTTTTTTATATAAAATAATAAATTTATAAATAAGATGCATCAGATCGAAGAAAATTTTCGACAGAAAAATATATTTTTGTTATCATTATAGATTTATAGAGCAAAAAATCAGTATTATATATATATGGAAAATTTCATAAGTAAGAAATTAATTATGCCACATTTCAAAAACAAGAAAACAAGTTTCAAATTTCAAAAATCATATTTTTATTAAAAATTATTTATAATTTAATTAATTATTTATTTATTTATTTTAGTAATTAAATATATTTAAGTCACAAATTTATATAATTTGGTCACAAATTAACGATTTAATTCATTACTTATTATTTTTTGGTCACAAATCAGAAATTTTATATCACAAATTATTTTACGATCACAATTCAAAAATTTTATAGGTTACAGTTTGTTCATCGATTCCAAATCAAAAAATTTAAGTCACAATTTATTTATTACTCACAAATCACAAATATTACAAGTCACAACTTATTATACAGTCACAAATTATCGATCACAGATTAATAATTTTTTAGGTCACACATTATTTTTCAATCACAATTTATCATTTCCATTGGTCACTTATGATTTATTGGTCACAGATTAACCAATTTAATGGTCACTGTCAATCAAATAATTTGTGAGCACCACCAACACTTACGATTCACAGTCACAATTTTCAGGTCACATATCCAATTGTGGGTCACAGTCACAATTTTCAGGTCACTTATCTAATTTTGAGTCACAAATTAACCAAATCGCCACGACCACCACAACCATTGCCACAACCAACTGTGATTCCTAAATTGTGAGTTACAATTGGGAGTCACAATCACAATTTTCAAGTCACGAGTCCAATTATTTATCACAAAATCAACCAATCTATCACGACCACCACAACCACCGCAGTCCACCACAACTACCACCATCACCACAAAATCATGCAGATCATCAACATCAGCCCATCGCTGCTGCACACACGCCACCACTGCCACGCACGCACACCACCATACCCACGCACAAATTTTTTTAGATAAACGGTTGCATAAATATATCTGAACTCCACCCTGCACCATCATCGTTGCGCGTGCCACCATCGCCACAGCATAATTCGTGTAATGACAATCACCACTCGGCACCACCACCATCAACAGCTGCAAACACCATCACGGTACCTACCACACAGCACACCACCACACTGTATCATCTGAGCTCCACCACCGCCTGATCGCCGTCCCAAACCTTTGCAAAAACTAAACAAAAAAATCATATTTGTACCAGATCTCGCCCCCACCAAATTTTTTCCAAATCTCGGAGCGGCACTCATTCCGCTCGCTGCGGCGTCATCGTCCTTATGCCCTCAACACAGTGCAACGACACTCAAGCCATTGTAATAACATCATCGCCGCAGCTTGCCTCGCCACTATGGTGGTCTCCAACTTTCAGATTAACATAAATTTCATCCAACCACTTTCCAAACCCTAATCAAGATCTCCACGACCACCATCTGCCATGTTCCCTAGTGTTGCTAGACCGTGATCCTCCAGTGACCGCTTGTCCGACGATGGTTGATTTGTGGGATTGATCTTTGACGAC